CTTACGGGGTACTGCTGTGGGAGATCTTCACCTTGGGAGGCTCGCCGTACCCAGGGATCCCAGTGGAAGAACTCTTTAAACTGCTGAAGGAAGGACATCGAATGGACAAGCCTGCCAACTGCACCCATGAACTGTAGGTGTCTGTATGAGTATAAGTGTGTTACCTTTGTTTACAGGAGGCTGTCCAGATGAGCCAAACAACAGCAGATTACACCAGGGCCCTGTTATGTTCCTCAGTAATATTCTGTTTATCTGTCATACTGTTTCAATGGTGGGGGTTCATATTAAATATCCAAGTTTCCAAGAAATACTATACAAAATACACAGGATGTGCACACTTATTTAGTCCCACCCATTCTCCAGCTTCCTCACTGATATAAACCTCAATAACATATTTCTAATTTCACAGGATTGTTATAGTACGTAAAATACAAATTATTATCGAGTTATCTGTGTTTTTTTAATGCAAATCAAAACCAAGTCCTTCCAGTTTTGGAATATTAATTGTAAAATCTGAATAAACGTGAAGTAGCAACTTTATAAACAGAGACATTTGCTGACATTCCCAGAAAGCCATAACTTTATACCCCTTTTTTGAAGTGTTTTTTGTTAGGAGGGTTTCGATGTCTTAATGAGTTGTTCTGTCATTAAAATACTGTATTCATAATATGTTTGTATAAGGCGGGGGTGTCCAACTCCAGGCCTCAAGGGCCGGTGTCCTGCAGGTTTTAAATGTCCCCTTGATCCATCACAGATAAATACAACAAAATAAAATGATACGATAGGACGAAAACTGTGGTATTTTGTAAATATAATAATAAACAAGAATTTACTGTGTAATTGTGTAACTTTATTAGCAGCGTCCCCTTTTGAAATGCGCCAACAAGAGAGTAACGTCATCCTCTCTGCCCCTTAATGCTCTCTGGTCACTATGGTAACACGTAAATATGTATTTCAAAATAAGACACACAACTACAACACGGGAAAAGATCCAGGGAAACCAAGTTAATGATAAAAACCCTGAAAACCTTAAATTTCACACCCGAGTCTCATCTCTCACGGAACCAAACGACGGCCCGGGGGTTAGGACCGCTGTTGACCCAAGGTGATATCTAAAGCCTGCAGGACACCGGCCCTTGAGGCCTGGAGTTGGACACCCCTGGTATAAGGGAACCAAACAGCTTGTTGGCCCTGTGCAATATAGATGTGAGATAATTTTCAGCTGTGAATCACTCAAAGCTAAGAATAAAAATAAGGAGCTGGAAATGAGCCTAATAGGGACCTTTTAAGCACTATTTGTGCGTTATGTCTAGTCTGCTAAAAAAAAACGAAACAGTAAAAACAGTCCATCTAAGATCGGAGAATGTAGTGAACGAGATGCAGTGTGACTAAATCCTCGCTGTTGGGATTCCAGGTACATGATCATGAGGGAGTGTTGGCACGCTGTGCCATCGCAGAGGCCGACCTTCCGACAGCTGGTAGAAGATCACGACCGGATTTTATCAATGACCTCCACAGACGTAAGTCTCCCTGCAAAGCTGCAGAACACACACAACACCAGAAATAAAAGCGCACGCAGCTTATTGCTTCACCCAACCATAAAAACACTGCTAAAGAGTCGCAATGAGAGATTCTTTAGATGTTTGGGTGTATTTTTAAAGTTGCATGCGAGTGAACAATGTAAAGCAGCATAACATCTCCAAAGTATTTCATATTCTGAAGACTTGGAATAATACGCTAAACTTTTTTCCACTCATTTGACCACCAAAAAGTGAAAAAGTTTGACTGTGACACCAGAGTCTAACCTCTGACCTCTCCTCTGACAGGAGTACCTGGACCTGTCGGTGCCCTTCGAGCAGTACTCGCCCACCTGTCAGGACTCCAACAGCACCTGCTCCTCAGGGGACGACTCCGTGTTCGCCCACGACCCGCTGCCTGACGAGCCCTGTCTTCCCAAACAGCTTCCCAGTAACGGGGTGATTAGGACATAAAACCTGTGAGGAGGAGGTCGGACATTAACCTCTTCTCACAGTTTGTGACAGAAATATCACCGCTCACTGACTCAAGCACCTCAAGATACGGAGAGGGACAAAAAAGAAAAAAAAGAAAACTCAGCATGCAATACTTCCACAGTGCTTCAGCTCTTTTCGATTTGTCTTAAACTCTCGGACAAAGCTCTGTTTCGTGTTTTCTTTTCCTCCTCATCCCCAAGAACTCTCTTTAAACATTGAAGGATTTTTTTTTTCTTGCCGTTGAACCATGTTTGTGTTCTTCTTTTCAGAAATGAAATTATATTTTTGTACTCGGGCCAGTCTTTTGTTACAGACAATCTGTGGGGTGAAACCATTCCGTGCCTACTGGGATTAAACCTCCTGAGACTGGATTTAGGAGGAGGAAATGAAGGGCATTGATGAGTGACTTGTTGGCGATCCAGTGGGTGGGGGTCCTCCGATTTTCGGTTTGTTTGTTTTTACTACACGGAGCCCTTTTATCGCAATAAAGCGATCTGAAAGAAAATTGATGAACGAGATAACAGCAAAGCCAGCGTGAGCTCAATGACGGGATTTGTTCTTCCGCAGAGTTACTAGAAGACGTTCAGCAACAGAGAGGATCACGTGAGCGTTTCCTCGTGAATGTGTACGCCATCATCCGCATTTTAGCTTCCTGGGAAAAAGAAAAAGTGATAATCATGGAACAAATTTTCCTCATCAAAGATGAGGCAAAGCTTCAGGGCCATTCAGTAATAAGAACAGTGAGGTTACGAGGGTTTTTTTTTAAAAATGTATCTACAAAGTGATTTATTGTAAATATATAAATGCAAATATGTATCATAATGCTGTCCACAGCCGTGTACTTAAAAGACAAAAAATGACATTTTTTTTAAGATATTGTTTTAGGATTGGAAACTTTGCAATCTAGGAGACACTGTCATGAACGTGTAAAACACTTAATCAGAAAAGGTTTATTTGAGTAATTAACGTGTATATTTGTAAAGATATTTATAGACTTAACATGTGGTTCTTAAGTTCGAAAGGTCTAGTTTAGGATTTTTAGTACTGTACGCAAAGATTTCTATTTCAGTGGGTTTTTTCCTTTTGTTTTTGTAACTTATTTTACAACCAAACTGCGATGTTATTTTCACAACTGGCAGACTCCTCTGGTTTCTGATCCATCTTTTTATTGGTTTGTTTACAGTTTAGAATGTATGACACGAAGATGATTTGTTTTGTTTTGAGAGCGAGAGAGTGCGATTTGACTGCCGGAGGAGGACTCACGAAGGCTGAAGGCTCCTGCTGAGGAGAGCCGGATGTTTCCAATGAGTTCTGAGTTCTGGTTTAGAAAAGTTAGCGTTTGCCGTATCGAAGCGACGATTAACTCTTGCTGGGCAAGAAAAAGCAGGAGATGCGTACCGGGGAGACCTTCTAGTACTTAAACACATATTGAACATCAACAACAATGACTAGCTGTGAATCATAAGAAGCCTTCAGACGCTTTGTAAGGGGAAAAAAAATCCTCCTGTTTGAATTGTTTTACTTATTAATGTGTTTGCTTCTATTATTTCAGTTCAACTTATGTAATCACCAAATCTCAGCAGTCTTCTCGAGGTGCTTTATATTGTAAGGTGAAGAAACTACAATAATACAGAGAAAAACCCAACAATCAGAGCGAGCACTTGGCGACAGCGGGAAGGACAAACTCCCTTTTAACAGGAAGACTTCTGCTAGATCCAGGCTGAGGGAGGGGCAGCCATCTGGATCAATTGTTCTTCCACGTTTTGGCATTATAGTCATTTTTTACATCTGACCACAAATGCTGGTGTCAGAATAACGTCTCACCTGCAAACATGAAGGTGTTAGCCTGCATTGACAGTTTTCTGTAGAGGGTTAGGGTTAAGATTAGCAGCTACGACGAGGGTTAGAAATGGGCTTCTTCATGTGTAATTGTTAAACGTCACTTGTTTCGTTGTCTAAAACGACCAAAAAGAGGAATTCAAGTTGCATCACCTGTAGCTGGTGTTGTTTGAAAAGATTTAACGTAATTATAGGGGGATTTTTTTTTTTTTTAAACATGCTTCTGAAGGCTTCAATTGCTTAACTCGTAAAGGTCACAGGGTCGGCGCTAACAAGCTGCGTTCAGTCTCAAAACTCTGAGCGCCTGTGTACACTTTCACGGATGAAAAGATCAGCTTGAAGGCAGAAATGTAAAGCTGTTACGTCCTTTTGTGCTTGAGTGTGAGGAAACAGAACACTCTGCCCAAACGCTTGAGATTTTATCGCTGCTCTGTAGTATTAATACTGAAATGAAGGCATGCTGTGCGACTTACAGATCACACGGCAACAAAAGAAACTATATATACAGTATATATATATATATATATATAAATATATAAATATTGGTTTGTTGAATGAGACTCTAAAGTCTGTGGTGGGTCCTTCTTCAATTTCCATTTGTTGAGAAAAGTGCCAAATTAGTCTTAAAAGTCTATTTTATCAAATTCTTCAGATCTCTGAACCAAATACTGCACTGGTGAATGTAGGCGGGCAGAGGTTTACACGTGCAGGGAAGGATCATGGGATTTCCAAGATGGATGGATCCATCTTTTTATTTTGTTTTAGTTTTTCTTTCTTTTTTTTAATGCAGTCATCTGTCTAGCTGACTCCTCCCTCCCCCAAAAAAGCAAAAGCGTTGAAATGTTTACAGAATCTGTTTTCAGAGAGGTCACAAAAGGGAAAGCGACGTTCGAGTGGCATTGAAGGGTTCACTAACACATTTTACTCGCTGCTAAATGGAAAAGGTGCAGACACGCCGCTCTGCAAAGGCCTCGCTTCAGTGTGTGAGACGACTTTAGACACGTGGTCATCCCTCACCTCACCTGAAGTACTTTAAAGTGTGAAAATTCATATTTGAATTGATTGCTTCACTGGTAGAGCACTGAAACAAGGCCTTTGCATAGTGAGCAGCCACACAAAGTCGTAGTTATTTCTGTTTTCAGAACAGTTTTTGGCCCAAATCTGTAAAGTGCCTGGAAATAATTTAGGACATTGGTTCATTTTGATCACATTTTGAATGTATAATTACCAAAATAAAGTTCTCACTAGAAGCGCGCAACTATTAGCCTGTTTTTTTATTTCGTTTCTTTCCCAAGTGAACAAAACAAACAAAAAAAGGCACTTCGGTAAAAGGTTGGATGGATCTAATGAAACAGATGATGTTTTGTTGTATTTATTCTTCCATGCTGGGTAAAAGCTTTCCCTATGGTGAGAGTATTTTTATTCTTAACTATTTCAGTTTTTCAGTGTTGTTATTCATTAAAGAGCCAGAAGAAGAAGAAGAAGAGGATGGTGACGATGATGTAGAGTAGTAATTGTACTAGATGCTGATGCTCCCCATCAGGATTTGCTCCTGGTATAGTTTATCTTTTATTTTTTATGTTATTTCTGTGTCCATGTCGAGCTTTTTACTCTTGACACTGATGGCCTCTCTCTGTTTCATCGCTCTTAAAATGAATGTGTTGTTTTTAAGACGTGTCCTATTTTTGGCAATAACCAGGACCTCGTTTCCACGGTTTTGATTTTGAGTCATGTGATTTCAGCAACCTGTCAAACACATCTATCAAAGATAATAAATCTTCTATCAAATGTGACGGTGTTTCACAATTCAAATAAAATCTTAATCGGGAGTTTTAGTGGAGACGTTTCCGTATTATTGTGCAGAAGTATCTGCGACACATTAAAAACAAGCAAAAACAACACATGTATTTGAGTGAATATGGTTGCTTTGCTACTAAACTGAACAACCCCCACAGCCTCAGCAGGGAGAGACTCTTACTGTACTTACAGTCACGCGCTGACCTTTAAACGCTTGCGGTCACCGCTCGGATTTATTTATTTATTCTCCCGTTTCCAATCAGGAGAGGAGGGGGTGGGGTGTCATCTTAAGTATACGTCTTTCCTTCCCTCTATTGCACAACTACACCCAAACATTCACGTCCTTTCTCACGTGGATTCAGTTTTTTTCAGTAAGTTGTCAAGCAGCTCCGCACTATTTTCATTTTTCTCTACGCTTCATGTAGTTCTAACCTCGCGATGAGTTAGTCCAGCATAATTTATAGTTTGAAATGCGCTTTTACGTTGCTTAAGTATGCACGAGTAGAGCTGTTTTGTAAGTATCGTTTTCGTGCATTTGTTTTATTTCCGTCATTTTGCATTCTGCAGGGTTTGTTTGTCGGGGTTTTGTGTTTTTTTGCAAAAATGATCCTCAGATTTTTTTTTTTTTTCACAATCCCGCACTATTTATTTTTCCTCCCTCTGTATTCATGTTTCTAACATCGAAAGGTGGAACTAACCATTTGGCATTATTTGATTTTGATTTTTTTTTTTTTTAGCGTGTGTGTGTAATTCATAGCTTTTGTTGTAACGTACCTGTTCTGCTCATGGTGAATCCTCTGTAACATTCCACCATCACACCCCTTCTGAGCAAACAAAACAACTTTCCACAACTCTCTCTTTATGTCTCTCTCTCTCAGTTTCTCTCTCTGTGTGTCTCTGTGCCTGACAAACTATGCTGTCAAAAAAAAAAAAAAAACGTTTTCAATAAACAATATAATAGCGTTTGCTGTCAGCAGTGTGTCTGTCGCTAAGAGTATGAATTTGCAAAACAAACTGTTCCCGTGGCAAAAAATGAGTCAAACATTAAAAACCCCCAGACAGATTTTATGATTCATGGTAGAAGTTTGGAAGTGTATGTCAATGAAATGGAGCTAAAATACCACAAAAGTACAAATGTCAGCATGTTTGTTTGCCCGCTGTCTCAGGTTGTTTCGTCTGAACGTTGTCAGTACAAACGCAGATTGTGGGACTTTTCCCTTCTACACAAACTTACATAACTGAGGGATGAAATGCAAGACTTTAACAAAGAGAAGTTGCTGCAAAGAAACACACTCACTGGAGACTTTGCTACATCCATGTCACTAGTACCCAGTTCAGCCTTATTTTGCCTTCAGAACTGGCACAAATTCTGCAAAGTTCTGGAAACATTCCTGACAAATTTTGCAGACTTGTCGGTTTACGTCCATGATATAAATCTTGTTTTCTACCACATCCCAAAGGTGGACTGAGACCGGATCACTGCGAAGGCCAGTTGCATTCAGCAAAGTCACTGTCATGCTTTAGAAACCAGTTTAAGGTCATTTGAGGTTTGTGACATGATGCCTTATGTCAGGATAACGCTGTGGTGTAAAGGACACGGTAAGTAATGCTTATTTAAACTGTGGGATTTAAACGATGCTCAGGGGCCAACTTGATGGCAACTTATCAACGATGAGGTAGCCATCATGGGGTAGCCAAGCATTTCCTGTTTTGAAAGCTGATTTTACTCTAAAAGGGAACATAATTTACAAAATGACCATCATGCTATTTTTTATTATGAGATCATGAAAACAAAAATGTTTTACAAACGTGTAAAGCCAACATTTTTTTGTCATTTTTGTCACTGATTTCTACACAAATAGACTTGTTTTTGCATGCAGAGGAAAATTGGCCAACAAAGACTTCAGCATTAGATATACTCTGTTTGTAGGGCCAACCCTTCAAGCCGTGTCACAAGCATGGCTAAAAATAAATATCCATGCATCCATCTTCTTCCATTTATCCAATTCGGGGTCACGGAGGGTCTGTAGCCTATCACAGGTACCATAGGTTGAGAGGCAGGGTACACCCTGGACAGGTCACCAGTCTGTCGTAGAGCCAACACATAGAAGCAGACAACCATTCTCACTCTCATTCATATCTACGGGCAATTTAGATTAACTAATTAACCTAACCTCACTAACTGCATGTGCTGCAACAGTGCTAAGCATTGCACCAGCGTGCTGCCATACTGTCTTTTTCAGGTTTTTCAGTCAAGTAAAAAGCAACTACAGATAACTGTCGTTACTGGATGCTATTGTTTCCTTCGATTCCCGAATATCTCCATCGACAAGTGGACTCAGTACTTTGTTATTATCTTATTTAAAGGAGCTTGAAGGGAAATAAGAGACCGAGTGTTTATGTCACTCTGCATAAAGAGGCTCTTACATGCACAGAGGAGGATTATGGGAATTCGACCAACACAGAGACACACTTCCGTTGTCCAGCAACAATGGCGCTGTGTGAAAGTCAAATGCTGATTGATTAACAAGCCAAGTCAGCAAACCAAGGATGCCGAGCAAAGACAGTGACTGCACTGGTTATTGTGGTGATGTTTAATTTGTAATAGAGTGCGTCCAGTTAGCTTTATGACAAAGAAATTCTTTGTATATTATGACCTCGTCTCCTCCAAGGTAGGGGCTAAACTTAAAGGTCCAAAACCAGTACATGCAGGTATGTAAATCAACTGAACGTGAAGATGTGTTATTACAATTTAATTACAATAATTAATTGTTTTCTTCAGTAAAATGTTTATATTATCATGACATGGTATGTGTACAGCATGCAGAGAGGGAAACCAAAGATGCTGAGAATTTGAATAACACCTTTAAAGTGCAACAGGAAATGCAGTGAGCAGAGATTTTGTTGCCCCAGTTCCTGTTGATTCTGTCACACAGTGAACAAATTAGCCTCTCATAGCATCTTAACTGCTCTTTAATCAAGTAAAGTCTTTGCCTCTCTGTCTTTGTTTGCTGAGCATGGTTCCACGCCCTCCCTCGCCGCCTCACTGGCTGCAGCTCAGTAAATGGCTGGTAGGAGGGGAAGATTTTTTTCAGAGGGGTACTGAAGGCACGGCCAGGGTGGGAGGGCAAAGCTGGACAGTGACAGAGGGAGAGAGAGGGGTCTATGTATTCAGGCTTTTGGCCCTCAGCCCGTCTCAAGTGCGTCCTGAGGGGAACATCCTGCCCCTCGTTGGAACTTCCTCGGCCTGCTGAAGTGGCCCATTCATGGAGGTCTTGTGAGGGGGGCTTGTTTTTGCTGCTAAATGGATGTTTCTGTTTCAGAGGTGTTTGTGCTACTGGACGCTTTCCACTCCACGCCATCCCCCAGACACACACACTTACGCACACACCCTCTACCCCCACTTTTCTCCTCCTCCTCCTCCTGTTGACTTCCCATTTCCCCTTCTTCTCCTTCTCCTTTTCCCTTCTGTTTCTCCTCCCTGTTCTCAGCTAACTACAGTCTCAGCTGCAGTTCATCAAACTCACACTCCCACTTTAGGCTCCTGTTAGACCTTTAATCCACCTCTCAGCACAGGAGGAGCTGGAGTCGAGGAGGGGTAACTGCAAAGCAGATATAAAGGGATGGATACTTTTTTCACTTCTCTAAAGCAGAAGTGGTGAGTCTTCTAATCAGCCGGCTACACATCTGTATCTTTTCATGTAAAACAGTGCACATGTTATCAAGTGTAAAATGATGAGAAACAGTTGCTTCAGGAAAAAAACTGCATCTGTGGACTTTCCAGTTTGGGCATCATTTACGTTAAGTTCCCTGAGACTGTTTAATCTGCGAGTCTGATAAGTGCTGCCGTCACATTAGGGGAAACAGTGGTTGGAGACAACAACGAGATCAAAAGTGCAATGAACTTGCCATTTCTTTGTCTTTCAAATGGCTGCTTTGAAGGTGAGGTCCAGGTCTCTGACCGCGTGGGGTCAACTTTGGTCACTCAAGAAGATAAAGCAACAATAAGACAGTCAGTCTACTACATGTCTATTAGTTTGTGATTAAATATGGTCATATTGGTCAATTACAAGTAATCTGTCTGCGACAATATGGTGACAAACGGCAAAATCTGTTGCCGTCTACATACACAGCAATTTACTTTTCTGTGAATGTTCTGGCAAGACATTCAGAATCTCGTCAGAACTTCACAAATGTGAAAATAGTGATGTAGTTACTGTTCGATGGCAAGTTAACTGCAAAATGGCATAGGCACTTGGCAAGCTTTCTGTTATATGGATATATAAACCGAATAGAACCATTTGGCAACCAGCTGAATTCAGTCCACTGTTGCAAAGAGATGTTGCACAGAGAAGTTGCACTCATTGGCACAGACTGACTCAGACTGTAACAAGTTGGCAGTCTTTCTCCATTTATAAATTAGACAATTACTCATAAACCTTTTCCCACTGGTCTGAG